TGTGAATTATAAGGCCCTTAGGCCCCTTACCCTATTTTCTATGTTTTCTTTTATTTTGTTACCAGGCTCTTTCTAAGGTTGTGTGCCTCCATAGCGCTTTTTTCTTGCTTTTTTTTTTTTTTTTTTTTTTTTCTCAAAATTCTGTTTATTCCAAATGAGAGACAGAGGCCCGGGAATACACCTCAACAATACAACCCGGTACTTAAAACATGCTCGGGCCCTTACCCAGCTGTAGGCTCCTGGAAGCCGGGTCCAGTGTCCCTCCTCTAAAGTGCTCCAAAGGCCAAAAGTAAAAGAGGCTTCTTGCCAAGCAGATTATCCATTCTCAGAGCTATCTGATGCCTTGAGGCACAACAAGCACTTACCAACCTACCTTCCTATCCTACAGAAGACCTAACATGGAACCCAACCAACAGCTCTCAACTTAACCCAAAAAGTGCAGAGCACTTGTCACCCAATATCATCACCTATTCTCCGCAGATATCCAATGTTAAAACCCGAAAAGCAAAGCCTAAATAGACAGCGTAAAACACAAGCGCAGAACTAAGCGTCTGCTAACTAACGAAGGCCTAAGAGGCCACCTGAGTTCATGAAGAGATCTGCCCTCTAAAGCGAGGGAGAAGCCATGGGCAGATCAACAGTTTTCCTTCTTGCGATATAGAGGCTAACTGCCCCCCCTGCCGCCCACGAACGTCAGGCTTTTTTTTTTTTTGCTTCGGGTTCCCAGCCATTTTTCCTTTCAGAGTTGCCGCGTGCATGCTGCCACGACTCTGGGGAAGTGCTGGGGTGCTGTTTCGTTGGACATCCAGCCAGGCAAAACGGGCCTCGCATGCGACTTGTTCTGCCTGGATGGATGTGTCGCGGAACGGTGTCCCGATCTTCCCGAGAGTTGCGGCAGCATGGACGCCAACTCTGAAAAAAAAAAATGGCTGGGAAACGTATTGGTCGTTTAAACCACCACTACACCCCCCAAGGTGTGCCGATTAATTCACTGCGATGTACGGGCATTTCTGCACGAGTGCCACGAACACAAAATTGACAAATCCACTCATGATGAACAAAATGTCAGAGGCCAGCCAGGCGGGGGAACACACTGGTGGCTTAAGCTGATCATAACAGGAAAATGTGATATATAGGGCCTAGCCACACTACTTGTGATACGCAACGTCATGCCCCGCGCAGCGTCCCGTGCCCGTGGGAACGCCGATCAGAGTAATTGGGGCGTGGCCGAGGGTTTTGGGTCGAACCGCCAGGACGAAACTGGGGTTCTCACCTAAGTCCCGAGGGTCGTTTTGGAAACTCTGGCCGAGTGGGGTAACCGCAAAATTCCAAAATGTAGACAGGCTCAGAAGGGCGAGGCATCAACAAAATTCTGCTCATCGACTTAAGGACATAGACACAACTCTTTTGACACAGTATATAACTGCAACACGGGCAGTTACCCGCGCTTACGGTCAGAGTGGCAAACCTCGACTCCATACAAGTCTCTACTCGTCCCACTGCACCCAATCCCGCTAGAAAAACGCAAGTTGCTAACTGTGTTGACTCCAACCGAAACTGTCACCTCGACGAAACGGCGATGGCCGGCCGCAGAGAGATCGGGTGGAACAAATAAGTCCATGCACCTGATGTCCCTGGTTGCCTGCGCATGCCCCTGGGTGAGCGCAGAAGTTGACACGTGGTGCCTGCACAGAGATGGAAGAGGGGAAAGAGGCCGGCACCGATCTCGCATGCGCTCTAAGCGTGGGGATCGGCAGTTAGTCGGGAGGGGGAGGAGGGCATCAGCATACTCATGCACTCAGGCAGACATCCAACACCCAATGCCCTGAACGCGCACTCATGCGCCCAGCAAGACAACGACACCACACACCTTCAATTCTCATACATCCATAGACGTTCTGACAGCGAAGCTTTCAACATCCATAGACACTCGCAACGAAAGCCGTGCACGCAACTGAGTCCGCACTTAGTCTTTAGCGCACACAACAAATGAACAAAGTGGCGATGGCCAAGAAGCGAGTCCCTCACTATTTAAAAATCACAACAACGCTGACACTTCGAATGCACAGCCACCAGACCCGACCGAATGCAAGCCAGCCATAGCCATAAGGCCCTGCTGCTGGCGGCGTTCCCATCTCCACTGCCTTACCCTGAGTCTACCGCTAATTCCACTCTACGTCGTCACTCCGCCCATTCCTTGGGCACGTCGAGCATGTTTGGCACCACAGTCTTCGTGCGTAGCTCGCGCAGCATTGCAGCCGAGATCAAAGAGAGGGAGAGAAAGGGGCTGCACAAATTTAAAGCATGGAAGGCGGCGAGGCACCAGCATGCAATGCAGGTAGCAAGGGGTGTAGATGAGGAGGAGAGAAGGAAGAAGGTTCCAAAAGGTAAGAAGGCGGGACAATCAATTTTTTTGTTCACTTGGGGTGGTCGTTCAAGTCGCGCACTTAAGTTCGCCTTTACGGCTTGATCCGACCAACCCAGCTGACGACCAATCAATCGCGCTGAAGGGCAAGGAGAGGATAGGACGAAGGGTCTAGAGGAAGACGAAGGGGTGTGCGGAGATGAAGGACAACAAGAAAAGAAGCTGGCGTGCACGTGCAAAGCGGGAAGCGAGCTTGCGTGAGAATTCAAAAATAACCACCTGCGCACCTGCTGATGCAAAGAACAATTGAAAATGTCGTCAACCGAAACTCTTTAACTGTTTCTTGAAGTTCCTGCGCGATCGCTAATTGGCCGCGTGAGACTACGTTGAACAAGGACAGGGGCAAACCCAAAACATGCATGCAGATGGCCCACATAAATTCAAAACGGACCCCATTTCTGTGGTTAGCCAAGATTCGTCCTTCGGGGCTTACTTCGGGGTTTAATCTGAAGGGTACGTGAAGTCGCGAGGTACGGCACTTGGCTTATTACATATTCACCAACTGCACAAAATGAGAAATGAATCTTCTGCCAGGACATGGAAAGATACACTGCCGTAAGTTTTGTCTTTTGCACATTTGGTGAGTAGTGCGGCATGGCCGATATACACATCTATCATCATAGAGAACTGCTAAGTGACCTATACACAGAGAGGAAGAAAAGGACGACAACCGAGGGGCTGTGACAGAGTGTTTCCTTGGAGTTTCACTGACTCATCAGGAGGCTGAACCCATATATAGGCTATGGCCTTGAGATGTCATTATCGAACTGACCAGCCCGAGGAAATTCAAAGTTATTTTACGTACCTGATTCTCTCAGAATTCGAACTCAGGGCTGTTTATCAACAGTTTGGTATAATAACAGAATCTGACACTACTCATGATCTTAGCCAGAAGGCCAAGAATGGTATCAAGTTTTTCGTTTTTTTTTCAAGAATGGTGTCAATTTTGAATTCCTCTTTTGTGCAGCATCATGATGAAGGACCCCGCGGTGGTTGCCTCAATATTTCCATAAATGGAAGGAAGGAAGGAAGGACTTCTTTTCTTCGTATTCTTCTTTTTGTAATGGAAGGCAGCACATTGAGCAAGACCTTGAGACGTCACCACCCCCTCAAGTGGCTCCGTCCTCTGAAGTTCCTTTGAAACAAAAAATCTTGAGACGTCATCCCACAAAGCTGTCGCTCCAGTCAAACTTTGCCTTATCATGGAATATTGCCGCCAAAAAGAAAATAAAATATGCCGATGACAGTGCTACATGGCGCCCTCGGCTTTAAACAGCAAATGAATGACATAAGCCACAAGCATGTTCAAGGATGTACATGGATTGGCAATGGGTATATAAATTCTCTACCTATTTTTGTTTACTAACTTTCCTTTTTATTTGAATTCTTTACCTTTCGGCATGCTACCTTCTTCCCCCGAATACAACGTACTACGGTACTTAGAGCTGTATCTGGGGTATCTTTCAGTCTAAATACAGCGATAATGACCGTATGTTGTATTCGGGGGAAGAAGGTAGTATGCCAAATACACTTTGTTTCTTTGACCTGGGGGAGACGGGTGAAAGGCTGCGGAATGGTGGGAAGGGGAGGGGGAGGGGGAGG